AGGTCTGTAGCATCTTTTAAAATCTAGGTGGAGGTAACCATGCCACCACAGCTTTCACATACTCTTGCCTGCGGATTTAGTGCCACAAACACACTGCCAAGGTTTACGACTTGTACCTCCTGGAACAAGGGCCAGAGCTGCACTTGGAGTTGGCTTGAGCCACAGCTGGGGAGGACAAGGGTTGCTGTTTCAGAACGCTAGGAACAGAGACTTGGGACATCACAAGGCAGAGAATGCTGAAGTCCCCCAGACACTCTTAGCCCTCCTCTGGAAACCTTTCCGCCCTCAGAGTTTTAGCATTCTGGCTCTGTGATGGGAAGGCAGCATCAAACGTATCTGAAATGCCTTTGGGATCGTTCTCTTCTTGTCTTTATGAATGGCAATCTTCTGCCTATACTAATCTGTTTATCAAGCTGTCACTTGGCCAGTTTCAGACTTTCCCTTTACCTCTCCCCTTCTCCTGACCAGAATCACTCTTAAAGCTCAATTAACGGCAGTCTAGTCTTTTGAGGCTGCCCTCAGACTTCTCCACAGCTACACTTTCCAACAGAAGACAGATATCAGTGTCTAAAAATTATAAGAGAAAGCATGACCAAGTAACTTTGCACTCAATTAAATTTATAAAGGCCACAGAAATACATTCCCAAGATGGTTGAGGTCAGGGAACAAAATAACCATGAGGCTCTCTGAAAAAAAAGATGATCATATCCAGTCTATCAAGAGTATATTAAAATTAAAATGTAGAAAAGATGGTTTAAAGATGATTGTTGTATTATCCAGATATCTTAGTTTGTGCTGCAGTATTAAGCAACATTTGAATGTCAGGAGCTTAGCAAAACAAAGTCTATTTTTCCCCCGCAGAATATGTCTCTGCAGGTAAACATGGGTGTTGCCCATAGATAAGAGACCTGGGGTGACAGAAGCTGCATCAGCTTATAGCTATCTGTGAACATGCAGCCTCCTCAGTTATTGTGGCATGAGAAGAGACTGAACTAGTCTTTCCATTGCCTTTGATCAGGATTGACACAGGCTACTTTGCTCAGAGTCCTTGCTTAGAAAGAGTCAATAGTGCCCTACAGCGAAGCTTAAAAATGAGACTGAAACATTTTTACTCCCAAAGTAAGGTCACAAGGCTGGGTGTGGTGGCTTACACCTGTAATCCTAGCTATTTGGGAGGCCAAGGTGAGGGTATCACTTGAGTCCAGGAGTTTGAGACCACCCTGAGCAACATAGCAAGACCCAGTTGCTACAGAAAAATGAAAATTAGCCAAGTGTGGTGTCAAGAAGCTGTACATCTAGCTACTCAGGAGGCTGAGGTGGGAGAATCACCTGAGCTAAGGAGGTTGAGGCTAATGTGAGCTTTGGTCATGCCACTAACACACTGTACTCCAGCCTGACCAACAGAGAAAGACTGTCTCAAAAAAAAAAAAAAAGAGCCAAAAAAATAAATAAATGAAACCAATAAGGTCATTATTTTCTCTGAAATGTTAGTGTAGATCCCTGTTTTTTTACTTGTAAATTCAAACACAGGGTTTACACACATGTGTAGATACACATACATATATATATATATGACAATATATACTGTATATACATACACAAATATATATATATATATATATATATATATATATATATATAATGTATAGCAGTTACTGATACTAAAGGATCTTGGAAGCAAGCAATATATAGAACAGCAGCTACAATATGATCTATTTTGGGATTTTGTGTGTGTGTGTGTGTGTGTGCCTGTGCGTGTGTGTGTGTGTGTGTGTGTGTGTGTGTGTTCATTTGAAGATTATCAAAATGTTGAATTGTTCTCTCTAGGTGTTAAGGTTATAGGCAAACTGAATTTTTTCCTCATCTGTTTTCCTTAATTTCTTAAATTAACATGTATTACTTGTGCAATTAAGATTTTTTTTAAAAAAAGAACCAATGTATCAACTTATATTAATTCCTACATAGGTTGAGAGAAATTCGTATGGTTTTTAAAAACTGCTCAGTTTTGTACTTTGCACATAAAATGTGCTAAAGTAAATTGAGTAATGTACCCGGTTCCCTGGTGTCCTAAAATTGTGCTTTTACAAAGGGCAAAGCAAAAAATTGCATAACAAATAAACCCATTAGAACTCTTTGCAGAAAGTTTCCATTTTCTCTACCCTTTTCTTAATAAGAAGTGTTTTAGCTGTGAATAGGCAAGAAAATTTTCCCAGCTCTTCAATGCCAAAAATTTTATCAAATCTCATCAGGCCAGCCTATTTGTTCTCTTTTTCAGTTACATTGCACTGTGGTTTCCATTATTATTTACTAACTAGATTACAGTCTGCAGTCCTTTTCAACTATTTTCCAAGTTTTTTTTTTTTTTTTTTTTTTTT